ACCAGTGCACATTTAACTAAGGCTTCTGAAACACATGACACTGCTTTAGAAAATGAAAAATATATAACCTGTGAACACCGTGTTGTGGTTAGAAGTCCCCAGAAATTGGAACTTTCACTTGCTAGCCACGATAGTGAAAGCTTTAGCCCAGTTGCAGATGACTCTTTGGCTATAATTCATAAAGACTCACTGGAAGCAAGCCCAGTGCTAGAAGATAACTCATCACACAAAACGCCTGATTCTTTGGAGCCCAGTCCTATGAAAGAGTCTCCCTGCCGTGATTCCCTTGAAAGTAGCCCTGTAGAACAAACAGTGAAGGCTGGTATTTTGGGGCAGGGTCCTCTTCAGTCTGTCCTTAGCAAAGGAGAAACCTGCCCAGAGCTGGCATCGGTGCGTTCCAGGATTCTCCGTGACCCTGAGGGAAGTGCTGATGATGACAGTCTAGAGCAAACATCCCTCCTGGAGAGTTCAGGGAAAAGTCCTCTTTCACCTGAAACTCCTAGTTCTGAAGAAATTAGCTATGAAATCACACCTAAAATGGCAGACTCGCAGGCACTGTCAAACGTACCAAAGTCGGCCGTGATCCCTGAAGTCAATGAGGAACCAGAGGATGATCCAGAAAGTGAACCAAAGAAGAGATTCACCCCTGAAGAGGAGATGTTTAAAATGGTGACCAAAATCAAAATGTTTGATGAATTAGAACAAGAAGCAAAACAGAAGAGAGATTACAAAAAGGATTGTAAGCAAGATGAATCTTCTGTACTTGCTGATTCAAAAGCTGCGTGTGAAGCTGAAGAACCAGAGTCAATAGCTGTAGAAGAAAAAGATATACCTACAGTGGTGATGTCTGCAGCTGAACCTAGAAAAAGTTCTTCCTCTTCAGAAAGTGAGCCGGAGTTGACTCAGCTAAAAAAAGAAGCTGACTCAGGCCTCTTAATGGAGCCAGTGATCAGAGTCCAGCCACCCTCACCATTACCATCCAGCATTGACTCCAGTTCTAGCCCCGACGAAGGAGGTTTTCAACCCATTGATTCAAAACAATGCTCTGTCAGGATAGATGCAGTTAAAGCAGAACAGGATAAGCCAACAGAAGATGACAAAGAGGAACCAATTATCCCTGGGGACAGCTGTAAGGCTTCCACAACAGAATCAGGCACTTGTTATTCTGATCGTTGTGTATCAGCAGTGACTAATGAATCAAATGCTGACAGTACAGAAGACAGTGAAACAGTTAGTCCCAATGCCCCAGTCACACAATCCGGGGGTACTCTGTGTCATTCCATTGGTGACAGTTCTCAAAAAGAAGTTCATGTTGAGTCTTCGCTAACACTACAGCAATATGATACTACTGAAAAAGATGTCAAAACCACTGCATTGTTAACACACACAGATCTCATTTCTACAGGGGCTGTGTCTGAGAAAGTAGATGATAATTCTTGTGGACACAGTACCACTGAGTACTCTGTACCACAAGATGGCAAACTGGCTGAAGATGGTACCACTGACCATTCTGCTTTGGAAAGTGATTTGGGAAAAGCAGATACAGATTTTAAAACATCTCAAAGCGATATTCATGCTGAGGAAGCCTTACCAGAGTATTCATCCCTTACCACTGAAACAACGGAACTAGAAGGTTGTGTAGCAGATGCTGCTGAAAGTAGTGCTCCTTATGTAGTAAGTCCTTATGAAAATGTGTCTTCTGAACATTTCTTTACTGACTCTGAAAGTAAGGTAGGATCTGGTAGAAGTCTGCTACCTAGGGAAAACTATTCCTTTGAAGAAGGAAAAGATCAGACTGGTGAAGCTTTATTTAGCAGAGACACAGGTAGTGAATATCACTCTTCAGAGGAAGTATATATGGAAATAGAACCAAAACCAGAGGATGCATTTCAGAAAATGTCACAAGGATCTTCAGCATCAGATTGTACAAAATTAGCTGAATCTGCCCTTGAGGATGTGAGAGATGAAGCAGAGAAATTGATCAGTCAAGTTGTCATCACTAAAACTGATGTGGATTCTGACATGTGGAGTGAAATACGTGAAGATGATGAAGCTTTTGAAGCTCGGGTGAAAGAGGAGGAACAAAAGATATTTGGGTTGATGGTAGACAGGCGATCACAAGGCACAACACCTGATACAACACCGGCCAGAACACCCACCGAAGAAGGGACACCACTTAGTGAACAAAATCCTTTTCTTTTTCAGGAAGGAAAGTTGTTTGAAATGACTAGAAGTGGAGCCATTGACATGACCAAAAGGAACTATCCAGATGAAAACTTTCACTTCTTCCAAATGGGGCAGCAGCCTCAGGAAGAAGTTTCCTTATCTGAAGAAGTGAAAGAAGCAGCAGAGGTGGAGTCTTCTAAGCTGAAGAGCTCACCAGATCCGTTTTCACCTTCAGAATCAGAGGACTCGGATATACAAGAAAAAGATACGTTGAAATATTCACCCCTAGCATCTGAGTCTAGTGATAAATCAGAAGAAATGACAAGTGAAGGTGTCAGCATAGGCACCACAAAAGCAGATCTTAAATCCAGAATTCCAATCAAAATGGGTATTTCAGCTTCTTCAAAATCGCCAAAGAAAGAAACTGCTGCCTCTGAAGCTGAGCCCCTCTTCCGAATGGAGACTGACTTCGTTGATGTCAGTCAGGTGCCTTGCCCTATCTCTCCTGAGCAGTCTGTAGGAGAAGATGAATTAGATTTTTCTGAAGTCACTAGATTAGTTTTTTCTGAACAGGGTGAGGAGTCCCCAGACTCTTCACCAGAGGAACAGAGATCTGTGATTGAAATCCCTACTGCTCTAATGGAGAGAGTGCCTTCTTGTGAAAACAAATCTAAAATTCCTGTAAGAACAGCTGCTGCTGCATCGCAATCCTTGCAACAACTGGAAAATGAGAGCCTTCCCACAGACAGCCTCCTAGACAGTTTGCAGTGTGAAGGAAAAGATGACCAAGCAAAACCAAAGTCTAAAATTCCTGTCAAAGCAGCTTTCCAAAAAGCTGAACAACAATATACATGCTCAGACACATCTGTCCGCAAGCTAGAGTCACCCAAAGCTCTTGACATGACAAGCAAACTACCTATGAAACAAGATAACCGAAGTAAATCTGAATCTGATGCAAATATTCCCATGGACCCAAAGACTAAACGTTCAATAAAAGCTAGGAGTTACGCTGAGGCAGAAGCAGAGACCAGGGAGAGGGAGAGAGAGATGAAGCTTGAGCTAGACTCAGATGAGGCAACGACAGCAAGACCCAAGGTATTTTCATCGCGGTTGCCAGTTAAAAGCAGAAGCACCACAGCCTCCCGCAGTGCTTTTAGTCCCACAAAAGAAAGTAAGGAACATTTTTTTGACCTGTACAAAAACTCCATAGAATTCTTTGAAGAAATTAGTGACGAAGCTTCTAAATTAGTGGAAAGACTTACGCAGTCAGAGAGAGAACAAGAATTAGTTTCAGATGATGAAAGCAGTAGCGCCCTAGAAGTTTCAGTTATTGAAAATGTGCCATCCAGTGAGACTCAGCAGTCAGTTCCTGAAGACATCTTTGACACCAGACCCATTTGGGATGAGTCTGTAGAGACTCAGATTGAACGTATCCCTGATGAAAATGTCCATGACCATGCTGAAGGTATTTGCCAACGACTGGGATTCCCTGTGCGACGCATGTCATGAATTAAACTTTTTGGTTTTTTTGTTTTCTTTGGGGTGTGTGTGCGTATGTATGTTTGTATATATGTGCAAGGTGTGTGGCATTTTCTTTTAAGCTTTTGGTGGCTAGTTGTGGGTTTTTTTCCCCCGTGAGCTGTGTTTGGTTTTGTGTGTTGTGTCTGTGTTTTTCTTGTCTCTGAAACAATCTCAAGATTGCAAACCATGAATGCTTATGGGAAGTGTTACCTTAATACAAAAAAAACACTTCTAAAAATATGTATTGTTTTACCATTAAGCTGATTGCTTAGGTCATGCACGTTTTGGCTTTTGGCTTTCCCTGGCGCTGTTCTTAACTATTCATTTTTACTAATGATGAAGTATTTGGGCATTGATTTAAATGGAGCAGGCAAATTTATTTTCTTCTGAGTTGTTACACAAAGAAATCTCTGGAAGTTTTAAACAATTTAGTGTTTCGTGTTCCTTTTTTTGATTATCTGTGTTTCAAGAAAATTCTGTGTCACCAGTAACTTTAGTACAAGTTTTCTGGTGCTTGGTTTTCCTCTCACCTACAGAGTAGCCATGATGGAAATCCAGCAGCTAAAATGAAACATGCATAGATCATTAACCCTAAGCAATTCTCTGAACCTGATATATCGCAATCCATGTGAGCATTCAGGGAAAATCAAAACTCAAATTCTGCCATCCTCAAATTAGTTTTGGGGATGGGAGGAACAGTCAGTCTCATTGTTACCAAAGTAAATGAAGACTGGCAAATGAACATCTGTTTTTTCCTTGCCTTCATTGTAAGTATTTTGTATCATTCCCTAGCTGAAAAGGTCAAAGACACTTACATGAACAATATCTCAAATACAAACCATAATATGAAGTCCCGTATGGACTATTCGAACATAACTTTCCCTGCAACAGAAATAACATAATTAGAAGCACCAGTCCAGATAAATTTTTCAACCTTGACGTTTACTAAGGAGGCATGGAAAACTTGACTTAGTTGAAGTCTTCAATTTAATGTTAGAATGAAGTTGTAGAATAAAATACTTGGCCAAAATAGGCACAGTAGGCACTTCAGTCCTTGTTTAGATTTTCACATGAAAGCCTGATTTTCAAATGGAAAATGTAGATAGTCCTGTGCTTTTTGGAAAATCAAGCTTTTTTTTTTTTTTTTAACCTGGCAATTTACAGTCCTCACTGCAGTTACCCAGTTGTAACAGCCTGTCCACCTTTAGATTATAGCAGTTAGGAAAAAAAGCACTTTGCCTCTTGGGCTATACCACCTATGAAAACGATTTTCAACTTGTAAAAGGCAACTTGTGGCTCTCTTTGACCTTTAGATCGACAGGATGATCAGGAGAGGACAGAGGAAAGACTGGCCCACATTGCTGATCATCTCGGATTCAGCTGGACAGGTAAAATGCATGTCATCTGCTCCAGAGAGAAAGGAGGGGAGCATTCCTCACTTTTTTCATGTTTCCTTCAGATGATTTCCTGACTAAAAATGCTGTATAGAAATATTTCAGTACTTTACTGTCTTCTGGTTACTAAGATTCCTATAGTCAATTAGGTAAGAACTCAGATGCAGAGGTAAGGCCTCTGCACTTGCTGTGGCAACTCCAGAGGGAAAACTCCTAGGATGAGAGTGTGACAAAGAGCTGGCATAGTTTACTATACTTTTTCTTGCAAAATGTGACAACTGGCTAGAAGATAAATGAATATATGAATAAACATCATTTGTGCTCTGGAACTTCTGAGCTGAAAGGCCACTGTAGGGATAAATGACATCAGCTTCTTTTCTACAGAACTGTGCTGAGGAAAGAGCAATAAAAAGGGACGGATTCGTAACAATCGCTTTAATATTGTGGATTTGATAGGTCTGAGACAGTTAACATTACTGGGGAAAAGTGAAAGTAAGACATGATGAAGAAATGCAGATGTCTATCACTGAAAATCAGTTCAAAAGTGTTTAGAAAGAAAAAGAGCTGTGCAGAAATCTCAATGCTATGTCAAACTGTGCAATCCAGCAAAAAAATTGCTTCATAAAAAATTGAATCAGGTCTTCAATTTTGTATCTATCCCTAGAGCAGTACCACGGTCCTGAAAATATGCAAATCTCTAGGAGTTAGATTTGTATACCAGAGAAAAAATGTTAACTCCTTGATAATGAAGATCATGCTCTATACTCTTTTTATGACCATCTTCAGAGTATATGCAAAACATCAGTGATAGTTTTGCTTCTGTTACTCACCTCTTCCTTTCCTGTCCTCTGTTTCAATCCATAGAGAAGACTGGGTGCATATGTCACTCATCCCAACATAGATTACTGTGAAATCAGTAGGACTCGGACTAGTGCAACGTAACAGATTATGAATCTGCTGAAAATTTTATATAAATGAATAGACAGCTCTGACGACAAAACTAGAAAAAATTGATGCTCGTCAAAATAGACATTAATGTTTTATAGCATTTTAGAGAGGGCAGAGTAGTACACTTGCATGAAGATTCCTGTCATATCATGGTAAAGATTGGTTACAGTAAAGATTACTGTGTCAAATGTTACTTTGGGGGACAAAATAGGGGTTGTTTTTTGTTCAGACTAATTTGACTACTTAGGATTTGAATCTAATGTGTGGTTACTGCATATTTGTTGAAGTTTACAGTTGCACTGGTTTACAAGCCTACCTGGAAATAAGGTTATCTGGCGTTTGGGCTTAGGGTTCCCTCCACCCTGTTAAAAACATGACACCCTCCAAAATCAAGTCCATGCCACTAGAGCAATAATGATAATGGAATACAGTATGAATCCTTCTTTGTGAAGGAAGCAGAAGTCTGGAGACCAGGGATCACAGTAGGAATCTCATAAGAGCAATCTCAGATGCCGGCTGGGGTTAAACCATGGCACTCTATGAAATGCCATCACTCAAAATGAATTCTTTTACTAGATTTTGATCAAAGTTTCTGAAATATTCAGCATTTCAGAAGATAGAATCTGCTGAGCACAGTGTTCTGTAGGTAGAAATATTTTTATCTGTTCATGTGCTATTTCTGCAACTGCACTCTATTTGATAGCTTGTCCCTGCTAAATTTTGTCAGTAATGTTGTGCCTTTGAGAATTGTAGATGCAAAAAATAAAAGCTCACAGACCCATCACTTCTAGGCATAATGCATTTCTGTCTTTGTCGTGAACTTACTGTTTAACAATGTCTCTAAATATAACACAAGGCAATAAAAGGAAAGAGAATTTGGTTTCAGGAAAGTTTGTAATCCACTTTGCTGCTGACAGCTGTAAAATAGATGTAAGGCAGTGAAAAAGAAAAAGACATCTTTACAGAGATGGATTTCTTTTTCAGAGCTAGCAAGAGAGCTGGATTTCACAGAAGAGCAAATTCACCAGATACGAATTGAAAATCCTAATTCACTTCAGGACCAGAGCCATGCACTCCTCAAATACTGGCTTGAAAGGGATGGGAAACACGCAACAGGTTCGTTTCCAGTTACAGTATGTACAACTGTCTCCAGTTTGCTAGCTGACAAGTGTGTATTATAATAACAAAAAGAAAATATGGGCAAAAATTAGGCTATAGAAAGAATGACCGTACACTGTACTCAATTTTTTTAAGCTTGTCTGTATAACATGGCATACCATAGGATTCTTGGTGAAAATAGTTTAGTCTTGTTCATTTGAGGTCAAGGCAGAAGATTTTACAGCAAAGAAAGTGTGGAAAAACACTGAGGCCTCTTTTTTCTTAAACTGAAAAATGTTTGGGGAAACTGAACAAATTTGTTACAGGAAAAAAGAAAATGAGTGGTAATTTTTAGAGGCAGTTAACTTTAGATTTTACATAGCAATGCTTCTAAATGCATCTGTATTTTATATATTATATTATATTGCTCAGTATTCTATGTAAGTCCTTCATATGAAAAACAGAAGGGAGAGAGCATGTGAAATTCTTAACTCAGCTACATGGTGTCGTTCTCATGCCACAGATACAAATCTTACCCAATGTCTTACAAAAATCAACCGGATGGATATTGTTCACCTAATGGAGACCAGCGGCATAGACTCCATGCAGGTCCACGGCACTCGCACGTATGCAGAAATTGAGCAGACAATAGGATTGGACCATAGTGAAGGTAAATGTCTCCTGATCTGGACTGCCCAGGTTATCTCATCTAAGCACTAACTTCTCTTCTGAAATGCTGAACTAGGATAATCTGTTAACTCTTATGGCTGAGCACTAGGATCTCATTTTGAAAACATAGATTATGTGGATGAATGCAAGCCTGACATCATGCAGGTCGCTCTTTCACCAGTTACAAGATCTCTGCATTAGACGATTCTTATAAAGCAAATACAGGAATGTTGTCAGGAACTACTGCAAATATTTATGCCCAGTTTTGGGGTGGTTTTTTTGCTTATACAAGTACTTTCGTAAAAGTTAACTAGTTGCATTAGGATTTGACCAAGGTGTCTAAAAGGAAAACTACTCCGTGCTTTAGAAAAAACTTTGGATTCAAGTATTCAGGATATTGTAATTCTGCTAGGATGCCATTGGGTTTCTCCAGTTTAAAAATTCAGTAGATTAGATCAATGGCTGTAAACTAAAGAAATGCCTCCAAATTACGTGAAATAAAATTCACAGAATCACAGAATGGTAGGGGTTGGAAGGGACCTCTGTGGGTCATCTAGTCCAACCCTCCTGCCGAAGCAGGGTCACCTACAGTAGGCTGTAGAGGACCTTGTCCAGGCGGGTCTTGAATATCTCCAGAGAAGGAGACTCCACAACCTCCCTGGGCAGCCTGTTCCAGTGCTCCTTTTGCTACATACCATGTATCTGCTAAGAGTTATTGGGCACTTCTTTTTTGCCGACAACTGATGTGTAAGTGTTTCTCAACACAAGGCTCTTCAATTTCCTCATAGTAGTCTTCTTCAATGAAAACAGCAGACAGTGTCAGTGAAAAGATCAGACATGCTGGAATCCTCGCTCACATAGACTTCAGTTTTATTTGGCAGAAATTCTGTTTTCTGTTGACCTGCTTAATTGTATCAGTTCAGTGCGATTCTTTATTTTGTATCCTGCTGGATAATCTACATTTGTATCTCTTCTTTCTCCATCCTTTCCTTTGGGTGTTTAATGGACCACAGTGCTTTCAGCCGAGCTTTCCTTCAGCTTCCTGACTGCTGGCTCATGGTCAACCTGTTGTCCACCAGGACACCCAGGTCCCTCTCCACAGAGCTGCTCTCCAGCAGGTCTGCCCTGAGCCTCTACTGGTGCATGGGGTTATTCCTCCCCAGGTGCAGGACCCTGCATTTGCCCTTGTCAAGTTACTGTCAAGATTCATTATTTGGCAACAGTAGTGGTAATCCAGTGTTCCTTCAGCTACTTAGAGAGGTTATGTCCTCTCCCACTCAAGACGTCTAAAAATTTCAGGTGATGTGTTCCATCCAGGGATTTTAAATGCACATGGAGAATGAGAAGGATTTCCTGCATTCTGGTAAGACTTGTAATGACATTTCTCATCTCTCTCTTTTTTAAAGGGTTTTCTGCACTGCAAGAAGAACTGTACAGTTCAAGACATAAGCAAGAAGAACAGCATAGAATATCTAAAGACAGTGAGGCAACTGAACACCCTCCTATTGTCTCTGAGGAAGATGTGTCTGTCAGTTATTCTCCTTTTCAGGACAGTACTCCCAGGAGTGAGGCCGAAGTGTCAATGGCTGAGCTCCTGAGACAAACACATAAGGAACAAGTAGAAGCTGAATTCTCAGGGAAACCCCAATATGTGCCAGAAAAAACATCTGCTTCAGAACATGAATATTTGTAAGTGTCAAAAGACCAGAATGAAACCTATGTGGATCGGGCTATCTCTTCTCTCTGTAAGAAGAGGATTTTACAGTTTTCTTTGAAACGTATGAACTCACTAGAATTTTCCTCCAGTTGTGCATGCCAGTTCATTAGTTCCTACTGCAGGTTTGACTTTTTAATCCATGTGGAGGAAGCCTTAAAGATTAGGAGAGAAAGTCAGTTTGTCACTGTGAACACAAAGCAATAATCTAGTCTAGTACATACAAAAGAAAAGAGGGATAAAGTAGACATGGGAGGTTTTTGGCAAACTGTGTATATTTTTCATATGTTAGATAGCAAGTAATGTTAAACTTAATGGAATTAACATTAGACGGGCCTTTTTTCAACTTCAGGATGGCTTTTTCAATGGAGGCAAAAAATTTCCGACTTAATCATAACTTAAAAAACTCATAACCACATATTAGGAGCTAAATTTTTAAAAATAAATTTCAGATGGCCAAAGGAACAGAAATGGCGTTTCGTACAGACAAGAAGAAAGTAATTAAGAGAACAACACATCATAAAGTATAGATTTAGAAGACCTGCACAGCAAAGCCTTGAATTCTGATTTGGGGCTGTCAGTGGGGTTGGTTTCATTTGGAGAGGAACTTGAAAGGAACTTGAAAAGGATCATGTTTCTTTCTTTCTACCATCCCTAATCACATGCCCACGCTGAGAACTCTATGCAGTGTTGATTCAGGTATCCATAGGCTAACAAGACATCAAGGATCCACTTCCAAAGAAGTGATTTTCCTGGCAGTGATTAGCTTTGATGTGGAGATGCAGCTCCAAACAGCCAAAGTGCAGCTGAGTCCAGCAAATGGTCTTCTGGGTATTCTTTGGCTCAAGATGTGCTTCCCACCCAGAAGAGTGTGGGAGACAGAAAATAGCATCTAAAGTAGAGGACTTCTGTTGCACTGATAGGCAAAAATACCAATACTTCATCATGATTTGTGTGAGGAAATGAATATTTTTAAGGAACAGAAAATACGTTTGAGACAATATTGCCAAAAATAAGTGAAATTAGTGATGATAGGGGAGTATCACTACACTTCATGTCTAGCTTTAACTAGAAGGAAACTTGGGCTAGATTTAAATAGCTCACAAGGAACACACACTAAGAGGAATTATACAATACTATGTATAGCCTGCTGAATGGGAAAAAAAGCTGGATCAATACTATTTGACTTCTACTACAATTAAATCTTTTCTTGCTTTCGAACACAATTATTTCAAGGGCAGTAGTTGGGGGAGCACAACAAATTGCCAAAATCCAGCTTGTATCAGGAAAAAACATACACTTGCAAGTTACTCTATTCCTGTTATTATCACTGTTATCTGCTCATGGGATTGGTTATGGAGAAGGGAATCTGGACTCCAGCTATTAAAATTTAACAACTTCCTCAGTTAATTTTTAGGATGAGAGGAGGAAAAAAGCAAGCATGTAGATGCTAGCTCCAAGCATCTTAGAAGTCTTAGAAGTGGATTCTTTTTTTTTTTATTTATTTATTGCAGGCTCACTATTTTTCAGGCTGTAATTCCACCAGTTTTGATATAGTATCTTTTTTTTCTTTGATATACATGAGAAGAGAAAAGCCACCCTCAAAAGAAGATTCTAGGTGGTAAAGCGGGTAATGTTTTCACAACTGGGACAAATCAGAAGTGACCTTTTCAAGCTAGCATCAGAGTTATAAGGTTGCTCGACAAAACTCAGATGAGAGTTAGCTTAATATCTGAAGTCACTATTATTCAGCCATATGCAACAGAAAAATATTGCATGTGCTTTAATATATGTGTTACTGTCACGGTTTAAAGCAGGGCATCAATAAACTGAGTGACAGATGCTCTCTATTAACCCCCACCCTCCCACCAGAGGAAGGGAAAAGGAGGAAAAGGGAGAGAGACTTAGAAATTGAATAGAAAAAGTTTTACTAATAACACTAATAATACTAATAATATTAATAATAAGAGAAATAATGCAAAATGCACAAAATGGATACTGAATTTCCCGGAGTTGGGCGCTGGACGCTGGTGTCACTGAATTTCCCGGAGTTGTGCGCTGGACTCGGGTGTCCTGCCAGCAGCTGCCGGGCAGCACCAGGAAATCCCGGACTGGCTTTGACAGCAAACAAGCACTGGACTCAGGGATGCACAGATCGGAATCTGGATCAGGACTGCAGGCAGAACAACGAGCAGGGTCCTCTCCAGCAGGCAGCCATGGACGAAGAGAGCGAGATCCCCATGATCCCCGAGCTTTAAAATGACTATGACATGCATGGCATGGAATACCTCGCTGGTCAATATCGGGTCACCTTCCTGTTCGCCCCTCTCCGCAAGTACGACCCCTTCCAAATTCTCACTTGCGGGATCCAAGAGATCTGTCAGTGACCTTGGCTGTTATAGTGATAATTATAAACAGGGGCCTTTTTCTGCATTCCCTTGCTGTTGTTAGCTCAGTATAACTATAAACATCAGGTGTTATCAGCTTTGGAGTGGACACTGTCTGTAAAATACGCAGCCAGCTTCAGAAAAATGCAGTTACTTAGAAGAACTTAGCTGTAAGGAAAATTCACTAAAAGAGAATTGGTTCTGTTTTAACCAAAACCAGGACAGTTACCTTTATATATGTTACGTAGTAACGTGTGTAATAATGTGTTTAAATAACTTGCAGCAGCAATTAAATCATAGCAATGTTCAACAGTGAAAGTAACATTACAAGCAAAATAAGATTCTCTACTGTATCTCTGTTGAATAAGGCTTCAGAATTCTACATAAAAGTTGGTCTCTCCTCATCTGCAGCTGTATAGCTTGCAATTAATGTAGTAATTGCTTCATGTCCATGCGTAGTGATCCAGTCTCTTTCCCCCAAAAAATAATGGGTAATATGTAGATTTGTGAGGGCAGAAGTGACAGCAAAGCTCACATAAATCCTTTACAAAGATCAAGTTTTGCAGAATTGGGTGCAATGTTTCGACATCCATTTGGAGGTTTTCTTGGGTCGGGAAGATGAGAGGGATTCCTAGCCAGATTGCTCTGTAGTTATTGTCAAGAAGTATCAGTTATTTCTAGACTTTGCTAGGTGACAGACGACATAACAATATTTGATCAGTGCATAATGTTCCATTTATGGAAACTGGAAAGCACTCCATGGTAGTAACTTCCCTTGAACCTGTAATTCACAGTGTCACAACTCCAAGAACAGAGCAGCCTATGACCCCAGTAACTGGAAAAGCAGCAAGCGAAAAATCTGCACACTTCAGTGCGGCAAAGGAAGAGAGAGAAAAACCATCCCCACAGCCCCCATCATCTGCTCAGAGAGGTGACTCTCCCATCATCCAAGAGCCCGAAGACCCCCAACTCCACCAGGATGACCTCTCTCCAAGGAGAACTAGTCTAGTGATAGTGGAGTCAACTGATGAGCAGACAGAAAAGTTTGGAAGAGGCTATGAAGAGGAGTCTTTAGAAAAGGTAAATAACAACTTTGCCTCGAAGTGACTGACGCAAAGAAACAAGTTTTATGTCTCGCTCATTCCTTAAGAAGAGAATATTTTTAATCAGCCTAATTAATCCCCATCTGCAACTGAGTCTTTTATCCTTTCGTCTATGTTTATAAGGGTTAGCCATATCATTTATATAGAGGTTTTCAAAGCTGAAGCAAAACCCAGATCCAAAAGTCTAGACTGTAATTCTGGTTCTGCTACCCTTATTTGTCCTTTGGTCTGTGACAGTTATATTCATGCATGTGAGAATCGGTGTAAATAACAGGTGCGGAAACAAACCATGTACAATTGAAAGCTGAAAAACAGTTGTCATGAAAGACAAAGTAATAAAGTTAAGGCTTATGAAGAATGTCAAGACTATCCCAGAGCAGCATGAAGAATGACATGCAAATTACTGTAAAGTTAGTGAGATGGAAAGGAGGCAGCAGGATGTATGTTGCAGAATACTAAGGATGTACTGGAAGAAAAGAACTTGAGAATGGTGTTTATGTAGCGTGCAGGCAATAAAGAGAAATGGAGACAGGAGATGGATGGGAAGAACAAAAACTATGTGAGGTAGGTTACTGGTTGTGTACAATAAAGGAACCTTCTTGCAGTGTTTGAAAGGGGAAGACATCAAGAGGCAATGAAAGAAAGCAACTACATCGCTTTTAGTGGGGAATTTAAATTACGTGGCAGATAAAGGTTCAAGAATAAACAGCGTTCTTTGCCTGTTCTAAGTGGAAAAAAAGGAGAAGGTATAATTGGGCAGGAAATTAGTTTTATCAGTGAAGTTAGAGCAGAGAAAGTACAGTTCTACTTAAGCAGAAATTGTTTCCTGTTTTGACATTCACCTAGAAACAGGCTCTTCCTCCTTTACTGTTTATGTTGCCAAATGCACCACCTCTAGAATGAGGAGTTTCGGAGCTCTGCCTCTGGGATCTCAGAATAAGTTTGAATGTAAAATGTGTATGATAACTCAGATGATGAGAGATTAGCTACAATAGAACTCAATACAGTGGCTGATGTAGGAAAGGCTGCCCTCAAAGATAATATACTTCTTTTTCCCTCCAGTTCTTTTATTAAAGTAAATAAACAACAACCAGCACCACCAAAAAGAAACGCACCCTTATTTATTTTCCCCTTTATGCTTGTACACTGTTGATATTTCCCAAGTAGTTCGTTTCACCTTCTATTTGCCTTCTGACCTCTTCATTTAAATTTTGAATTCTTCCCTGTGCAGGAGAGAGAACTTCAACACTTGTTTGTTACTAATTTTTCTTGATCTTTCCAGTGCCAAGGCTATTGACACATTGTCCTCTAGTTAAAACTGTTTAGTCCTACTCTCTATGTGCTGCGCTATGTACTTCTCAGTATGAAGGATTTAATATAATTTTCTGCGTAATCAATACAGAAACCATATGCAATATGTATGAATTCCAGAGTTGGTGTTAGTAATACCTTCTAGTCCACCTGCAATGACATCATGCCACAAATTTCAGGCTTGTCCCTGGCAACTTTAAGAGCACTAAGACGACTAAGAATATCCTATAGAATTAGTAACACAAAGGTTCATCCTGTTTTCAGTATGCTAATAAACAGCTAATGTATAGTCAAGTAGCCAAAGCCTACCAACCCGCATCAGTGTTTCACAGATGAAAGTCAAGTAAGAGGCCAAAATCCTAAAAGCAAAAATTTTCAGAGATGAAGATGGTTTTGGATAAAAACAAGACAGAACCTGTAAGTACTGCTAGTACCATATACAACAGAGCACTCCTTCCATGCTTCCACTAGGAGTTAGCAGAGGAGTTAGGCGGGCTGGAGACCAGCTCGGACGAGGACGAGATGGTCACTACCAGGGTCGTTCGTCGCCGGGTGATTATTCAGGTACTGAGTGTTGAACGATTGCATGAGCCTATAGTGACTAGGCCCTGGAAACTCCTTTAGGCATGCTGCTGAGACAGCCACTTGGCTGGTATTGCACCTGAAGCTGGAGCGCTTCTGAATAATGCATGGGCACTGGATAAGCCATTCCAATACCTTTTCTTGAAGGGAGGATTATAGTAATACTGCTAACCCAACTCTAAATTCCGTTAGATGCTTCAGTAGGAGGAGGACGAAGACTTCTCAGCCCCATACACAGCACAGTCAACTAACATATATTTGCCCGTCCATTGTGGCATAACTTTTCTTTGCATGCCTTTCTAAGTATTTATTTGCAGAACAATTTTTTTCTAACATTTCTCTTTTTATTTTTCATTCTTTAACCAATTAACCAATTTTAAACTTGCTTATTTAAAGTTACCTGCCTCTAGGCCTTGCTTCATAAAACTTTCTTCTTTGTTGTACAGGCTGATAGTATGCCTGAAATGCCACCAGAAACAGTCACAGAAGAGCAATATACAGATGAACATGGCCACACAGTGGTAAAGAAGGTATTATCAGTTATGCCCCTTGCTACCTTATTAATGTCCTATAAAAGGGAGGATAAATACATGCACATACATGCCAAATTTTCTTTTGTGAAGGTGCGTGATTTTTAAGAGTAAAGCGTGGAACCAGAATTTCTGTTTATGAGACATTCCAAAGTTTGAATAATTATTTTGATTCACAAGATTGTTCTGTGTTACAGTCTATAATGAAACATGATGTATTTTGTTAATTTTCCCATTTAAAGACAATGAGAATTCTGCATAGATCCATATTTCTGAGCAAAAGGAGGCTTTTTTTAAAAAAACACACCACCACTCATCTTAGTGAAACCACACCACACTCTTAATGAAACTAATGGAGGGCTGGATCTGCAAGAGTCATCTAAACCCAGACTTTAGATCCTCAAAATCTCCACTCAGCTGTGCCTGACCAGGTTACTTAATTTCTGTATCTGTAAATACAGTTAAGTTTTTACGGCACAAAGAATATAGAAAGTACTTGTTTTTGTGATGTCCTTATAAAATAAGCATTTTCAGACCCTGCTTATAAAAGCAAATTCTGCACAACATGGAAGTGGAAGAGGAGCTTCGGTGCTCCTTACTTTATCTGACAACTCAGTGCTTAGAGGATTAGTGTAGGACTCGGCTGAATTCTGCTGATGGCAAACGCCATCTTCTGTCTCCCAAGAAAACATCATAGTCCCTCAGCTAGATAGCACATCTCTGGAAGCTGTTTGAATTAATCTTAAAATAAACAACCCCAGCCAAATATTCCTGGGCATGTTGTGCAAGAGTATCACTGTATTCTTCTGGGTAGGTCCGTAACTGGGAGGGCATTACCCCCACCTCTGTGATTCTTAAATATAGGTGACATGGTCTGACTGAGCATTCCAGCAAATAAGCTTTTGGGCAAAGCAAGAGGTAACTGCTTAGTGTTACCTTGTCAAGAGGGGCTGGGAAGGCATACGAAAACGTAGAGCTTCAGGTCATCCACAGAGGGATGCATGCCCATCTTCCTGAGAAATCTCATCTTGAACCCTCTAATTCTCCTCTGCTCCTCTTTGGGCTGCCAATGCCTAGAAAGCTTAAGCATCAGATTAGACTCTAAAGTAGGGCAATTCTGGCTCACTAGTTCAGCAGTGGTGTTACAATGTGATGTCCAAGTCTCTCTGTGAAGCTAGTTCTAAGTATTTGACAGCCAAGCTGCTAACCTGTTACATTCGGAAACCTTTTTGAAAATGCCAGTCTGAAAATGTTTTCTAGCAGTTGTGTGGTTTTAAGTATGTTTTCTCTCTAAAATACTGTACCTCTTTTCCTAATAATAATTACTGCTTTAGAGAGTCATTCCAGTATCTATATTGTGCCCACTTGTGAAGTAAGTTTATGGAAACTTTGCTGTGTGGTAGCCTAAGTAGGGTGAATGCATCATCTTGCAGCTTTACTACAGGTATTTGTGAGTATATGTGTTACAGACTGAAACACTGAGCCATCAATGTAGGTTTTGCTGTGTAGGAAAAAATGCCCTTTGAGCTGAAAATACTGTATAGAGAATAATGAGGAATGTGTTATTTGTAATTCTTTTGGGACAAAGTTCTATTTCATTCCTTCAGGTCACTAGAAAGATCATCCGGCGATACGTTTCTCCAGATGGCACAGAAAAAGAGGAAGTCCTAATGCAAGGAACACCACAAAAACCTGTCACTGTTGAAGAAGGAGATGGCTATTCCAAAGTTGTAAAACGAGTTGTGCTGAAGAGTGACAGTGAACAGTCAGAGGTCAGATCTTCTGTTTTCCTTGTGATGGTACAAAGCTGCAGTACACCACAGTGTACTTAGTAACTGCATCTCACTCACGCCAACAAGACTCAGTTCTGAATGATGCTTTAAAAAGTTTTCTTGCAGATGGAAAGGCCTCAGAATAAAGATCGGGAAAAGGCGGGGGGTGGAAAGGAGGGCAGGGAAGCAGGGCAGTTTTCTCTGAAGATAAGTCAGGATACACATTTTGTGATTTATGCGGAGTATCAAATTAGTAAAGAAAGTAGCTTTGTCCTAAGATGACATATAGATAAATGGCAAATCTGTATTTTTTGTTATACCTCTTACTCTAATAAGAAAATTAGTGAGTGTTGTAATGAAATGATCTGACGTTCTCTAGGTTTCTACAACTAAGCCCTTCTAAAACTATACAGTTATGTTAGGTTCTTTGCTTTGAAGAAGCTAAAAAAAGTATTACTTTCATGCAAACTGTTTGTAGAGCCAGGTAGTTAAAAAGAGAAAACAACTTGAAAAGGTAAGTACTTTTCAGTTTATCTTTTCCTGCCTTAGTTCACCGTGCAGCCCTACAGACATTTGTATCAGCAAAATTAAGGTTCTGACAGAGGGCCGGAAGCTAGTAATAGGGCTTGCTTTCAGCAGTACTGCAGTTGAAAGCAACATTTAACAAATGGTCATTAGAAATACTAAGAATGTAATTGCCATGCTCTTTTGCCAGAATTAATCACCAGAATTAAGTCTCTAGGAGTAAGGTAACAAAAAAAAAAGTAATTTTTTTTCAGTTAGCTGACCATACCAGAGCTCCTCTTTATCACATGGAACCCATATACATTAAATGCATATTTTGCCAAATAAAATCATGTTTGTGACTTTCCCATCGTACTCTAATGTTCTGATCTGTTGCTCCTGTAGAATTCCTTGGTTTTACAAGTGTGACTCATCTCTCAGAAGAATATCTTAAGATATGGGACCGATACCACCAATTCTTGCTACCTGTGTGAATACAGCAAGGATTCACAGCAACAGGCCCACTTGTTACTTGGTGTAACTCCAGTGGCCTTGCCAGATAAGCCAGCACGGCAGCTTGTGGTGTGGTGAGGGCAGCAATATCCCTGCTGCCCTCGGGCTAGCTCAGGTTCCAGCAGCAATATCTTACAGTATTTTGTTTTGGAGCTGAAAAGCAGGTAATAAAAAGTACGCTCACTATTTTGATGCATAAGAAGACACTTCTTATATTCTTATTCTCTATGGCAATGATTAAGAAAGAATGATACAGCTTTGCTAGTATCCATTATGTAATTCATATCCAGTATACTTCTGTTTTCTGACCTTACAGGTGACCCTGTCTGAACCTGCTGTTTTGCCTAGTGCCTCCAACTTCCAGTCTGAACCAGTGGAAGGCCGGAAGGTCAGCAAAGTCATAAAGACCACTGTAGTGCAGGGAGAGAGAACGGAGAAACACCTGGGGGATGCTAGCTTAGCTACTGATCTTCCATCAGCCAAAGAGGACTTTGAAGAGGTAAAAAACCCTATTAAATATAAATATTAAAACAAGTGTTGGGGGACGGACGGGGACGGGGAGGGAAGCTGTTGTTACAGAATTAGCTATGAAATGTTTTAGGATTCTAAAAAAACCCATAGAGGGTTTAAGTAAACCCTAAAGCCAACGTTAGAAATCATGGATGTGGTTACTGTTAAAAAAACCTTCATTCATTTGTTAGCACGCGTGGACTAATTTTAGAAGTTCATACAGTTAAGTCTACTCTCTGGGTAAGCTGATGCATTTGTCCTTGAAAGGAAGAAATAGTTACCAAGCTAATTAGCACCTTTCCTAGTTTTATGCTTTTTCTGATCAGTGTAGACATTTCAGTAATAGAAATGTGATACTGAATTAATGTAGCTTATTCTATAAGCTTCATTCTTAAACATTTCATTGTCCCTTTGAATAACATGTGTAAAACACGTCTTAAAGGTTCATATGGATAAAAGTTTTGTGTCATCGATGCAACATATGTACTTGGTTTGTTTTTTCAATTTGACAAAATACCATATAAAAACATAAATGCAACAATGTCACGGTCTGGCTCTTCTCTGCCCTATGATGGTATTACAGCGTGCGTGAAGACAACAAGTGCTAAGCTGTTAGATTGAGATGCCAAATTTTCCGTTGTGAATAGAGGCCCAGATCCCTGTCTCCTGACAGTAACAACACAAGCAGCAAAAACTGTCATGTAGAGGAATGGCTTGGGAAATAACACTGCTTTCCCAGCTTGCAGCTTCTAGTTTAGTAAATCAGGAGGCCTGCAGAAGATACCACAGCCAAACCCACATCCAGCCAAAAGGAAGATGAAAATGCTACCTTTTTTTTTTTCCCCGATATTTCTGTTTTCTGTGAATTATTAGTAACAGCAGATATTCTGTGGAAAAGTTTGCCAGGCTCCATTCCCTGCTTCTTCCATTTCAGTACAGTCAAGGCTCAGAAGTATCAACCATCATTTCTACGTATACCCGTCTCTATACAGATACACAGGACGAGTGTGGTAGGGCTACTTCAAACTTGAAAAGAAAGTACCAAGACATGCTTCAGTACAATTATTAGTAAAATGAAACTATCCTTTACAAGAAACAGTAACTAATCTGTATAGTTGAGGAATATTTGAAAAGATGCAAATGGCAGGCAGATGCTTCTCTTATTTGTCTAGTCATCATTTTCTCAGCATTCAGCTTCATTAACATAAAGCACTAAGGTATGAAGAGCAATTATCTTCTGTCCTAGGTTTTGGGGGTTTGTTTTAATCTGAAGTTTATGTTTTAATTTGAGGCTTTGAGCTACACAGGTAACCAGATGAAAGTCCAACTCCCCGCTTTAGTAGAGAAAGAAATCACGAAAAAGGATGGATCAATTATTAAAAGGTTTGGCTTGGCATGTCAATGAACTATGACTAGAAAAGGATTAACAAACTCATAATAAATGAGTGGATTTAAGTGAGTGTTTGAAGTGAAATCACTGGCAGCATCTAAAGCTTTATTTGAAAAAGTACTAAAGACTGCTACTAACATTCTGTTACAGGAAGGGGTATATGCACTGGAAAGGTCTCTATTCGCTTGAAAAGACTTGGTGAACAGGGGTGTGCTGGGTTCACCCTGGCTGGCAGCCAAGCACCACGCAGCTGATCCGTAACCCTCCTGTCCCACCATGGAACAGGGGAGAGAACAGGAACAGCAAAAGTGAGAAGATTCATGGGTTGAATGAAGACAGTTTACTAAGTGTAGGAAAGAGGGAAGAACAACCAAACAAGTGACCTAGAAGCAATCACTCACCACCTCCCACAAGCAGACCGATACCCAGCCAGTCGCTGCTGGACACCTTGGAGGATAGAACCCCCAACCTCCCAACTTCTTCATCTACCCCCTGTTTTTGTTGTTGAGCATGGTTCTGTGTAGTATGGAATATCCCTCTCGCCAGTTCAGGTCGGCTGTCCTGGCCGTGTGCCCTCCCCGGCCTACTCGCTGAGGGGGCCAGTGGGGAAAAAAAGAGAAAGTACCGATGCTGTGTAAGCACTGTTCAGCAGTAGCCAGAGCACTGGTCTGGTATCAACACTGGTTTAGACCCAAATGGAAAATGGTGCACCACACAGGCTGCTGTGAAGAAAGCCAACTGTGTCATGGCTAGACCCAGTACAAAGGGGTGGCACTGCCTACCTGGTCATAGGAGGCAGTACAAGGATATCAGCATGATTTACAGTTAACAACATTAATAAAGGTTACTTTAAAAATTTTTTTTTCATACCAGTTGACTCTGTGATCATTTGATAATTTGAACATTATCAAAATAGATGAGAGGATATATGGAGATAGATATATATAGATACATGCATGTGACACTTGAGCCTTATGAATAATGAGGAATAATGGGCAGGGCAGATAGGAAAGTATTTGGGAGGAAAGAAAAGCTACTGTAGTACAGCAAATGTATTCATTCCTACCACACAACTTGAGCCAAGGCTGCTGCATGCTAGGTATCTTTTATACACCTTTTCTTTCAGACCATTTGAATTGCTAGTGGCCATTGGGGTGGTAAAGCCAACGTTCGCATTTGAAAGAACATCCTGACCAAACGGTGTCTGTAATTGTAACAAGCTGTAAAACACATACCAGTGTCAGACTTAGGCCTGCTGCATCTGCTTTTGAATGAAGGGTACTCATTCTTGTCAAAGTACTCCATCTCATTTTTGGTCATTCAGGTCAAATTAAGAAGTGTCAGCTGTCTGATAAAAATCGAGCTATTCCTGAGCATGCAGGAATTTCCCAGTGTGCTTGGCTTCCCATAGTCCTCTCTCAAGGACACTGACCAAAAATTGGGCTTCTGGGTAAGGCTAAGGAAGAGACACCCAGCTGTCCTATGACAACTACATTTATCTGCCTAGATCTGGAAGGGACGTGCTGAGATTTAAGGTTCTGACTAGTAGAGCAAGGCAGTTCCAATGAGGTAAGAAAGTATTTAACAGAACAGTTTAGGACACTAGATTACCACAAAGGTAGTTTTACTGGCTGTCAGAAGTAAGACTTGTTCAGTAGGAAGTGTTCAAGAAATTAATCAGCTTAAATTACTATTGTGCAGGACAGCTCTGTATGTTGAAGTAAAATACAGCAAATAGGAAGGTCTTGTGTGAATTTCAACATATATTGCATGCCTGTGTGTTACAGCATGTTTTGCTGGGCATCTCAAACTATATGTGTAATCAGCATATAGACATTAATTAGTTTCCATTATGAAAGTCAATTAAAGCAGTGGTGTGTGTTGTGTTCAGAATGTGTAATGAATATCTGACCTCAGTAGCTGGTTTAAACTGCCAGCTACAGTTCTTCTCACATTATTTTAAATGAAAAAGCCTTGAAACTGCAGCTGAAAAGGAGCATTTTTTAAAATCTTCAGGAACTGTGAGCTTTTTAAGACAGTTTTCTCATTTTATTTTGTTTCAGGACAACACTGAGTAAAGCCAGCACACAGAAGAGGACTGTGATGAAGGATCGGTATGGAAAACATGTTCACACAGAAGAGCTGGAAGACACACCAGAAGCACTACCACAGGATGACCTCCAACATGACCTCCAGCAGCTTCTTAGACACTTCTGCAAAGATGACTGGAAACAGGAGTCAAAGTGAGAAGCTGCCACCCCTCAACAACAACACATAACCATCCATCCCATATGCAGCATTCATCTTCTCTAGGTGTAGACATTATTACCTACGTAATCACTGGAAGACGCTGCCATTTCTACCTGTGCAGATGCAGTGAATTCATTTCTTCCCCCGTCTCCGTATATGATTTTGGGTTTTTGATTTTTTTTTACCCCGTAAGCTAATTTGTGACCAAAGATAGCATCCTTCATTCAGGATGATTTATCCACCGAATCGTCGTCTTTGTGCTGTACTGGGAATTTGTCAGCATCGCCACTTCTTGCTCTTCCTTCGCTTCTGCACTAGCTTCACGAAATTGCATTTGTCAAGCCAACTTCATCTACAGGCCTCTTCAAGTGACTATGTACATGCATCGCAAAAAAGGGAGTTAACATGTAAACTGTATATAGCAAGAGTATTTGGACTTACAAGACTGCAGAAAATGCACTGCCTATGACTACAGTTAGCATCATGGATTACAAGGTCTATTGACACTGCTGAACAGCGATTAATAAAATAATGTTAACACAATCGACTGCAAACACAGACTGACTGAGGAGGAAGCACTGCAGATCTACTGCATCCATAAGACTTCCAGTTTAGAGATCTATTATAGTTAAAGGCTCTAAGAGTCAGGCTAAAAACCTGGAAATTCAGCTGTTCTCATGGAGTAACAGCTCACTGTGGCCGTTAATACTTCTAAGACCTTCGGACAGCCACTTAAAGATTTCCAGAAAAAGAAAAGAAAAAAAATAAAAAAAAGAATACCCAATTAGGTAACCAACTTGCTAGCAGCTATATCTATGGCACATTTGCATAAGGTATTAAAATCTTCTAGATCTGGACATGTGGCAGGGTGTATTAAACAATTATAACTACGGTAGTTTCCTGTTTTCATCACTGCTTAGCAAACCACACTGTCTTATTGGTGGTAATTCCTGCTGGCCACTGCACTGTAGATAAGTATGGGAGAAAGACTTACCCACTATACAAGGAGAATAATGAATTCACCGTGTTTTATCAAGATTGCCTCTTATCCGATACATGCATGTGGCATTTGAAGGTCACCAAACCCTCCTAGAATCATGTCAACTTGGTAGCCCTCTTAGCACTGAGCGAGCGGTTTTTATCTTCCAATCAAGGGTTTTTTAAAGAGAAAGTGCTCACAATCCTTGGAAGCCAGTTTCTGTTCATATTTTGTTATCTATCTATCTATCTATCTAATATATATATTTCTAAACCAACCCTCTGGGAACCATGATAGCATGTCTGCACTTTTATTTTCAAAAAAGGGAACACAGAGATCTGACATTTTGGGTGTTCAGTAGCTTAACATTTAATGGAGGGAGCTCTGTAGTGTTTTAGCAGATGTAACATACACACAAACACACTACCAAAATGTTTTTAAACAGCTATTGGATTTTTTAATAGTATACTCAAAACCAGAGTAAAACAAATCCTCTCCTCTGGGAGTAAAACTTTTCCAAGCTTATCTGGCCTGCTACGATTATAGGGTTGTTTGGTTTTTTTAACGACTCACTCAGTGCTCAGAACAAGGGCACTTCCTCGTTAAGGTAACGATGCCAAAAGCATTAAAACATCTGGGGAGTTCTGGCTTCCTGCAGGCAAAGCAACCCAAGGTGCCATGCTAACACTGTTTTTGGCAGGCAGGGAAAAAAAAAACCAAAAAAGAAACCCCCAAAAAGTGTTTTGGCAACCAAACCGAACGAGACCCATGATGAAACATTTCACAGCGAATCATGGCTTTCTTCTTGTCAGAGACAGCAGAGGATGATCTTCAAGGATGGGGCTCTAAAGAAATGCATTTCTGTTGTGTTATTTGCGGTGCAGATGATGTTCTGTGTAACAACATAATGGTTATTCACCTCTTATTTTGGTTTTTTGCTGTGTTATCAAAGAACTTGAATACTGTGAGAAGAAGTGAATTTTAAGTTGATGAATCAGCATCTTGTTCCCATGGTGATAACACTAATTGAATATATCTATGAGGGCATGTATTAGTTAAAAATTAAAAACAAAATACAACACTAACAATACATAGCTGCAATGTGTACAATGGCTGATTTAACTAAATAAAAATGTACAAGTGTTAAATGTAGAAATAATGGCTCACTCTCTTTTACTGCCAGTGCAGCATAAAAAGGAACAGCAGCCTTTTGGGTGCCTTAACTGAACTATCACAGTTACAATTCCTCTGTACTCGGCTCCCTAAGATAGGTATTTTTAATTTTTTTTTCATTCTGCTATTCAGCACTGATTGGAGTCAGTCTGTTATAACAGTCAGAGAATATATATATATTTAAATCATTGTTAATGGTCTTTCAAAGGGTATCTAGCCATGTTTTCTAGCTATTGAGCCTGGAATTGTGGAATTTTCCTTCAAATATGGCCCATACTGTTTGTTACAGTCAATTACTTTTTCAGTGCCTACTACTGAGAGTTTCTCAACCAGAGGAAAGACAGAGAAGAAAAATGTAGCATGAAATTCTGTCCCGTCTTCATCCTTGCAATGCACAGAAAATATTAGGAAGAGTTTGTTTTGTTGCCACTTTAAATTTATTCCGTGTAAATCTGTACCAATTCTGCTGCTGCAGCTGGGTCTCTGGCTAATGTAACAGGTCGCACTGCCGCGGCGTCCCCGCTCTTTGCTATTCGCTCGTGCGCTACCTGCATGGCCGTCAAAGGAGTCCTCCTGCCGACATCCCACGTCGCAGAGAAACCATCAGTGTAGGCAGTTTCTGGGTTTGCCAAAATTCAGAGTCATTGGGCCTCCCAGACTGCGGGACAGAAAGGGCCGAAGAGAGGCACTCTTGAACTGCCGGCGGCGACCAGGAGGCTGCCCACAGGCCAGCCCGGAGCTTGCCCCCAGAGCACGGGCGGTACGGGACCAAACCACAAGTCAGTTGCGACAGCCATAGCAAGGCCACGTCAGGGCTTACGCGTTCGAGGTGAGTATCCAAGCCAAAGCCTACTGACTTTTTCCTCTTTTCCACCTTCTTTTCCCAATGAAAGACCAATTGCATTTAAAAAAACAAACCTCAACAATCAAACAACAAAACCAACTCAAAACCCCACGCAACAAGTGAACAACCCCACCTTGAAAAAACACCCCTCCAGCACGCTACCATGACATTAGCCTGAGGACAAATAGGAAATAATTGCAGAACTAGCATTTGCAAAACATGAAAACAAGCCTTTTTTTCCCCACGTAGGTCTATTAAATATATTCATTCGCACAGAGCACATAAAAATGTCTTTATTCTCCCAGCCTATGCGTATCAGAATGTGTATCAGTCGTAGAGTGACAGTAGTGGCTGTAATACCAATGCGGTATTCATGTACTCTCTTACTCCAATTTATTTAACGAGCTTTATTTGGAAGATCAAGGCCATGTAAAGCACAAGCAGTACAGAGGTGGCTGCCACATTCACGCGTGGACGGCAGGGTCCACTGCACAGCCGGGAAAGCAGCGCTGCCTGTTCTGCGTACGGCAGCACGCGTCCTGACAGAGCTGCCTGCAGGTGCTGGGCGAAGAGGACGCATGTCAGAGGTAGGCTATCAGCGGTTTTAAAATGTTTTTAAATCCTAGCCCAGCTAGTTTCGACCTCACTATCAGCACTTTCCAACAGAAACACGATTTTGCTGCAAGATTTTGGCCAGTTCTGTTAGGTAATACCAGAAGGTAAACACCTGTTATGAAGTCACATTAATTTTCATTTTTTTTTAAGCAAACATAAGTTGTTAAATCCAGGGACTAACCTTGTGCTTGTCATGGCCTGATACGTGGCAGCAACAATTCAGGTACTAACTCACCCTTCCTTTCCACCTGGAAAAAAGGAAAGGCTTTATTTCTGTGTACAAATATACAGCATCCAGAACCTACTTATAAAACTGAAGAGTTTTATAAAAATGTTGTATTAACAAGTTTTTTTTTTCAGTCTGACTGTAAAGCTCTGTAAGCCAGCTCTAAAATATGGGCATCGTTAGCAGAGCCTCTGTTACCTTCTGCCTCTGTTCCCCAGCACACCCCGAGGAAGACCAGCAGAGAGCTATTTCCCACATTGTAACACCAGCTGCCGCAGAACGGAGCCACGTGCAGAAGAGAGGGAGCCACGTGCAAGGTGCAGTCGTCCCCCTATGCTGATTAGGCGGTGTCCTTTCAGCAAAATGGGGATAAGCTAACAAACGTGTCTGCTGAGACCTCAGTCTGGTGAGACTTGTATCTAATTGACATATTCTGTACAACTGGAGTGAGAAAGTGGAGCAACCTGTGGGTGCTTTCTGAATCGCCCTGGCTAGAACACATTTGTTTATGACTCAAAGAATTAAATGAGCCAGAAAACCCAGAAAAATTGAATTTACAGCTAACAACTCATCACATGCATACATAAGCAATGAATTTTGTAGGTACAAGATACTCCAAGGTACTCCACACACTACAGCTTATAATTTCAGGCCTTTCATAGTGAGCAATTTCAAAGAACAACATATTTTCCTGCGGAAATAAATACAAATGGCTTCACCTGCATCATCACCTTAAAACCTTCTCCACCACGTCCCAGCTATGAACTTTGCAATTGCTGCAAGCACGTTGGCAGAGAAAGCAGTGTTTCAGAAACGCCCAAAGCTAGAACAGTTGTCAGGTCTCAAAATACCTGGCAAAGAGGACACCGGTTGTTGCAGGTTTTGTCAGTGGAGCATCAACACCATGAGAAGAAGCTGTACCCTCAACCTTTGCCTGCCTTTTTCAGGCCCCTGCATAGCTTTGGTTTCTCTCCTGAGGTCTAACTCTCCTCTTCTCAGCAGTGACCGCAGCAATGAGTACAGACCACCTCAGCCCTTCCCATCAGGTCTGCCTCCTGCTCGTACGAGCAAGTGAGCAGTCGATGCCGTCTAGGGGACTGTCAAACGCAGGTTCCTCTCATGGGGGTCTCTACAGAAAGATGGAATGTGTTTCTGACGCCTTGCTGGGGCACCAGGAACAGCACTCCTTCTGCCTGCACGCTGCGGGGCTATTGAAACCCAGGGCTATACCCAGAACTGAATCTTCTCCCGCTGTTAAAAAAACCCCACAAATAAACAAGGACATGGACCCACACAACAACCACCAAAGAGAAAACCCACTCACACACAACAGCCACACAACCCTGGACCCATTTATGCCATTAAAGCTAACACAGCGTTTCCAGGTCACTGAATGTCTCATGAAGGCACTGGCTTTCTGATTTCAGCGAGTGACTCCCTTTCCCCTTTGAATGCTTTCCAAATCCACTCCATCAACGCAACAGCCTTCATGGTCAGACTTCAGCTTTTTTTTGATGAGTCTGACACCAGCTTTCTCTGTTTGCTCAGTCAGTACCTGAATGATCATTACATGAGCTCAAACATTGCTGCTACTGAGCTCAAGGGTGAAACAGAGCTCCCCTGTCAGCTTGCCTCCCTGTGACTGCGGGGTATGAATCTAAAAGTGGCACCACTTCAACACATGTAAGCGATTGAAGCACCAGCATCTGCTACCAGCTGTGGGGTGTCAGAACACATGGTGTGCTCAAACCCAGCCAGGTCTGTGGTGCAACACCACGGCTTTTACTGAACTGACACGGCTGTAGCAGTAAATACAGACCTTGCAGAGAAGGCACGTGGAAAAGAGTTCAGTTTGGTTCGGTGACACTCAGCTTCTATACAGCTGAAGGGTAAAGATCCAACAAGAACTTTCCC